TATGAATTTCTACATATGAAGTAGAAAAAAAGCTTAGTCCATTGTCAAGAGTGGAGTTCCTAGCATTTGGGGATACTTTCTCACCTTATATGCATTAGTTTGATAGACAGATTGCATTTAGGTTTTACTTTTATATTTTACTAATTTATGTATTACTTGTGTTTTAGAATGCACATTTGGAAAGGTTTAATGATTTTTTATATGTTTAATTTTTTGTCACCTGGTTTGTGAAAGCTTATAAATATAGCATGTGTACAGAATCTGCTGAAATAACTTAGTAAAGCCCCGCAGGCACAGTTGATGTATCACCATAAATAGTAAAAGACGAAGAATTTGAAAGTAAAATTAAAAATAGACTGTAATGGAAAATACGACATGAAATTAAGCACATGACAAGAAAAAGAACTTTAAAAACCTTTCTACGAAGAGTTGAAAGGTACATACATATTTCAATTGTTAATTTTTAAACATTTCATAACACTGTATACTGATTATAATAGACAGAGTTAGTGATATAGTAGAAAAAATGGAAAATATAAACATTTACCTTAAAAAACTAGGTTCTAGAGATTATGCAAATGAAATGTGAAAACTGTAAAGTTAAAAATAGTATATTTTATACTTCATATAAAAATCACTTGCAGGTGAACTATTCAGAGTCCAAGTGCAAATAACTACATTAAAAATCTAATTTTTTTTATTAGAAATAGTAGAAAAAATCAAAATTAAATATTTTTTATTTTTCTGAAACTCCATGCTTTTATGAAAGTTCTTGTCTAATTTCAAACAATTTCATCCACTAGTTTTATTTTTGGAAAGAAATACAACAATAACGATGTTAGGTCCTTACAATTTGAGAATGTGACTACCATAGGGTTAAGAGGAACACAACTCATCCCAACAAGTCCCAATGGCAGGGGAACAAAGTGATGAGTGAAAAAGCAGAAGAGGTGGAACAGGCTAAGCTGGCAAAGAGAAGGGAACAAATTTCTACAGGAAACCCCTCTGGAGCACAACGAAGTGCCTCAAACAAAAAGTGGAAGGAGAAAAGGGAATATTTATGAGTTTGGTGAGAAAGAGACATAGATGCAATAATAGGGAACCAGAGAGCAAAATAGAAGGCAAGAGGCCCAATTCCAAAGCAGGGCAAACAGATACCAAAGACAGGGAATCTAGAAAGGAAAAGAAGAATGTCTGCAAGTTAAGACAAAAGAGTCACAAACGTGAGAGGCACAAGACATTTGGATGTGAGAGAGATGCTATTTTCTTTCTCTAACAGGAGTGAAGAATGAGAAATATTAAAGGACACGGGTGAAAAATAAGAAAAGAAACATACCTGAGAAGAAAATCCAAAAAGAAATTGGAAGGGTAAGGTCATACCTTGAATGGTAAGGCACTACACAAAGCAGATCAGGTTAAATTTGTACTACAGTAGGCTATTTTTTGACTGAAGAGAAAAAATGTCAAATGACAGGATGGGAGTAGGAGGCCCAGTAAACATGTGGTAATCCACAACATGTTGAACAAAAGCTGGAATGTCTCCAACAGTTAATGAGCCTCCAAAAGCCATAGTTGATATAAGGGCTGTGTGTATAACATCATAACTCTCACAGAACTAAGAAGAACTCACTGTCACTTGAGAATTCATAATAAAAATTAACCTGTTTGAAACAAAAGCTAAATACAATGAAAATCAAGGTTTTGTTATGAAATGCAAATTTCACCAAACTGAAGCCAAATGAAATTTGAATATGCCTTTATTGTGCAATATTGAGGAAAAGAATGACATGATCACGAGTGCAAGTGCATAGGAAGAGTTACTGCACATGGAAGTTGTGTCGGCCTCCTTTTGGTAGAGGGCTTCTATTGCATGTTAAACATGTGAATTTAGATGGCAGTTGCCTCAAGGCTCATGGCATGCAAATCTCATAGGCAGATAGGTGAGGAAGATGAAATTTCTGTGTGAAGTGGTGAGTTAATGTCTCGAAAGTCAGAACTTGCACCTGAATGCATTATTGAAGGTTTTGATCACACCTCTCTAGTTGAAAGGTTCAACACTGGGCCTTTCCGTCAAATGAATCACCAAGTCTTTGTTGTTTTCTGCAGCCTAGCAGGTCCTTTCTAAGTTGAGAATGTAATTATTATACTTTTTGATAAACATTTAGAAAAATTTAAATTATAAAATGAAATAACATTTTGAACATTTCACAACATAAAATAAACTACAGAAAAAAAATAAATCAAATTATAGGAATTTCTTTAACCTTTTTACACTGGGTAGGTCAAAGTGCACATGTCCCAACCTTACAAAGAGTTACATTCTAAATTTAATTAAACTACTTTATTATCAATGTGTATGAATAAACTTTGCATCCATATGCAGTTAATAAATCAACTTTTAATATTATTTCAGTTTTAAGTACATCATTTTATAAGTAAATATTTAAAAAATCTTCAATCTCCCCTACTATGAAAACTGTGACATTTGCACTCTAGATCCAATTTACCACCCCTGCAAGAAATGCAGAATTTAACATACATTATGCATCATAATATAGTTATTATTCAGGTGAAACATAATTTTTTTAGCCTTCAATCTCATTTGTTTACAGAGCCATAAACTAGACAATCAGACACCCTCCTGCCATGCCCACCTGTCACATCCTCTCTTTCACAAATTGTCAATAGTTTTCTTTCACATTTAAATCTATATTATTTATAACTAATAGAAGTCTTAAACTATCAACTGACATATTATATTATGTTATTTTCTGTACATAGAATTGTCAAGTTCACTTTCAGTTCAAGCTTTATTTCCATGGGAAACACACAGACATGCTTAGATTAAGTTTTAATAGTTCTTGTCACAGTTAGAAAGCCAGAAAAATTATGATAGTTATAGCATATTGTCTGCTTTTTAAGTGTTATTATTCTGTGTTCTTAGGTGCACTATCTAATTACATAAAAAAGTATTTATTGCAGTAGTACCATTAGTATAACAAAGTGGGGTTAAGTTTCACTGAGTCGACAACAACAATAAAAAAAAAAGACCCAGGTAAGTACTATATTTCTTGTTTTTCATGTGTATTTTTATTTATTATTATAAAAGTAACTAAAATGTAAAAATTAGAAACTTATTAGGTTAGGTAAGGGTAGATTAGGTAAAATAAGTTATAATAATGGTTTTTAATGAGGTATGCTTGCGAGCAGCCCTTGTGTTACGTAATTCAATAAAGTGACATGAGCTACAAGTTTGCCATGTGATTTACAACTTGTGTGGCAGGATTATCAGTTACACGTGGTTCAAAAGGCAATAAAACAATTTATAGATAGATATATACTGTTACAAGCATTAGGCTATTTAGGATAAACAATTTTGGTTTCCTGTTACAATTTGCAGTCTTTCCAGAAAGAAAAAGGGTAACTTAGAATTATTTCCTTATTTTTTTATGGTGGTAACAAGATTGGTCAAATCAACTGACCCTGTATAGAATTACTGAATGAAAAAAAAAAAAGCAGTTCATAATTACTTATGATGTTTTAGGGATTATGCAAATGAAATTTGAAAATTTTTATATGAAGAAGTGTTTTTCCTCTTAACATGAATGTTACTTTGCACTCTGAGCAGTCAGCACTCTAACACCATATAATTGCAGACAATGTTTTAGTAAAGATACTCAGTTACAAATTCTAATTTTTTGTCTAATAAAGATTTTTAAAGTTTACTGAAGGATTGCCAAATTTCGTGAAGATACTTTCAGAGTCAAAGTATGTATACCACCAAACTTACATATGGGTTACAAGATCATGTAAAATACACAAGACCATTGTGATAGGGTAAAGCTAAAAGTTCATACTATATAAATGGAGAGCTGTAGTCACGGGAAAAAGATAACCATTGTACTCTCATTCCCCAACAGCATATACAGTCATTTACTAATGCTAAATAAACATAATAAAGAAACTATGTTTAATTTAATTTATTGCATTATAAAATAGTGAAAGCTTAAAGCCTTAGCTTAGGCTAACTTGATTCATCATGTTCTGTACATTAAGATGGATGATACTGCTATAACTACACCTGTCCTTTGAGTATTTTGTAAGTTGTTTCTAATTTATGTATTTGTAAGTTGGTTCTACCTTTCATGCAACTTGATTAAGATTTTCCACTGTCTTACTGTATTATTGTTTCCCTTTCCCATTTTTTACAAGTCCCATGAAAGCAGAAATAGTATTTCCCCCATCCAATTGACTTATTTTTGTCAAAGATGCAAATTTCTGCATATATACAAATGTATTTTTAATCCTACAATCAAAATTTTTTTTAATTTACTAGTTTTATCATGGGTAATGTTGTGTAGTGTCAAGTATGATTAAAATAAATTTAAAATTTTAACCTCAAGAAGTAACTATGAAGAGTACATGATAAAATATGGTTTAGTTTAAAAACTTTTTTAATTCATTTCATGCCACTGTGTAAATTCACAATCAAGTTTTACTAAATACATTTTCAGATGCATAAAAATTTGGTTCTTTCAAAGATAAATCCAAAACATACTGTCATAAACTTCATGTATCATATCTAACAAAATCACAAGCTTAGCTTGTGTCATAAATAACTACATCGTAAGTGTAGTATTTGTATATCTTAGAAAATAATGGACTTACTATGTTTTAACTTAGAAAAATCATATTCTTAACATATGTCATATGTTACATATTCACAATCTTAGCAAATGTCATACCTCATGACACTGTAACCTACCTTTCAAGATCATAAGCTCTGCATGTGTTACTGCATTAGCTCAGTAGTCATATCTTAGAAGGTCAAAATTTTTATGTTTACAACATTCTGCAAGAGCAACTCTCCAAAATACACAGTTAATCAGGTTATTTAAGAATATTGTAATTTTCTTCAAAACATCTACAGAACTGTACTTTTGTTATACAAATTTTTACATTAAAAGACACCTGCTAATATCTTTTAGTAAATAACTTACCTAAGGTAGATGAAGGAACGACTATTAAATGAGGTCCATCCTCTCCAGTTTCCTTCAGATGAGACAGAAATGATATAGCCTGTACAGTTTTCCCTAGACCCATCTCATCAGCCAAGATGCCATTTAATTCCTGTCTGTGCATAAGAACCAGCCAGTTCAGACCTAACATTTGGTAAGGAGCTAGATGCAGCCTGCAAAGAATATGACTTGGTTGTAATAACTATATCAGGTCAGAAGATTCGATGATACAATTGAATACAAGTTAGTTTGGTCATTCGACTGATAATGAACCTTGGTACAGCTTACAAGAAATATTTTAGTTAATTTTGAAAAACTTTGAATGTGATGAAGTGCAGACAAACAACATTATAATACAAAGTGACTTCAAGTTTAAAGAAGAAAGTACACTATTAAAACAGCATTATGTATAATTCTTAATTTTCTGTAAGTTTTTAAACAGTATGAAAGTTACTTGTTAAGTACTCACACTTGACAGTTGGCATCAATCGTGTGAAGGATAACATGTTTTGTCATTGATGCCAACTGTCAAGTGTGTGTGTGAAGGATGATAACATATTTAGCTCTTTTTTTCTTTTTGACAACACATCAGAGATTAAAACAGGAGTGAGTATAAATCTACAGATATGTAAACATTCATTAAATTCTAATATGTACAGCAGATTTTTTATGGTCGTCACTTTCAGCTGATGTCAGATCTTTAAAGAAGTTAACATATTCAGCTAAACAACCCAATATCTTTTATAAATTATTGAAACATTTATATATATGAGACACAAACTGCATGGTGAAAAGCTGGGGAAGCATCATTATTATGGAAAAGTAACTAAATAAACCAAGTAACAAAAAACACAAGTGATAACAACATGCCACAATATTAAGGCTCAGACTGTAGATATTTTCACTGAAGAATTTAGTAATTCAAGACAAAATCTTATTTAATATAGAGGGAATTCTGGTAATGTTTAGGTATTTATAATGTTAAGATCATAAGAAGAAAAAAAAGGCATTTAATAACAGACAAACAATGATTTATAAGCATAAGGAAGAATTTTATTGATGGTGAAACATATGTTTTGACAGAACATTGGTTTGTCTTTTTCAGGTATGATCAGTACTAAACAACACCAGGTTTACATATCATTACAAAGACAAAAGACAGGACATATGTAGAGGTCAAGTCTGGTCAAATGTATAAACAGTGAATAGACCTTGCCAACTACGACTGATGTTGCTAGAACCATTATCACAGTTTAGTGAAAGATCATTTGTTCTGGTGATTTCTAAACAGTCTCTTTCTTTTTTTCATTTTGGGTTGGCATAGGAGTAGAATTTCATACCAAAGTATTTTGAGGCCAGTTTCATAATGTGCTTCCTTACTCTAGTAACTAATTTAATGTCATCACAGATGTAAGTAGTACTATATCCAACAAAGCTAACACATGTTTATTTGTTTTGGAAATGTGTACAAACCTACACAGAAGCTATTTTTGCTAGGCTATCGCTAATTTTGAACAGATAAGACTAGAGAGAAGGCAGTTGGTCAACAGTACCAAATGCCAGTTCTCATTCATCTTTAACCAAAAAAAATGGTATTTAATCATCAGTTTTAAAATGCACTCATAGCTCCAAAGTATGGAACACTTATTTTCAGCAATAGGGTGTGAACCATGGATTCTCAGGTTCACAGCTGGCACACTACTCACTAGACCACCTAGCTCTTACTAACAAAGAATTAAAAGACAGTGCCTATGCAACATAACATTTGTAAACCTGTTATTTATAATTATACTACAAAATCATACACCAATTTTATTTGAGCATTGTAATACATATAGATATTCTTAATTGAATGAGTTGAATACTTTTATTTTAACAACAAGATTCTTATTCTATAAAATGTTGAGTCATTTATCTCTCAAAACAGAAAATGCAAATCAAATTTCAGGAGTAACATTTTACATCAAAATACTAACAAAAGTGTGTTTTAATGAAATAATAATATGTAGTTGAAATATGAAATAAAATAATAAATTAATACTAAAGTATAAGGTATTTGAATACTTGTACCTTTATTGTGAAAGTACAAACATGACCTGTGTTAGTACATATCACACACAGTATAATGTGAATGAAGGACAGTAATAAGTTCATTAAAGTGAAGTATCAAGTCATTAAAAGGTTTCTTTTCAGTTATACTTAAGTCTTTCAAACCGAGCAAAGAAGTAAAATGTACATAAATACTGTAAGTTTAATCATACGTTTCGAAAGTTTTAAATGCTGTAAACGTACAGTATAGAGTAAGAAGTAAAATTATAACCACTTGCTTCAGTTACGTAATTGGGTTGTGAAAAAATTAAAAAAAAACTTCTTTCAAAACATTTGATATTCATGGTTAATTAGTTGATGGGTTTAACACTCTCAATATGGGCTCGGTCAACCTGACCAACTACGTGACCTTTTGGTACTCATTTAAAGTCTTTATAGATTTAATACTTATAACTCTCAATATAGTGGATATATCTTCACAAAATTCAGCAGTCTTTCAGTCCATGAATATTTTGAGTACTAGTTTTGAATAGTCTGTATGCAAACTAATTTTCATGTTAAAATTAAAAATACTTTTCCTCATCTCAAATTTCCTTTGTGTAAACTCCAAAAATCTCCTAAATGAATTTCAAACGTTTTGTTTCAGTAAAACTTTATAGTTTATGTGTTATTTTCTCTACCCTGTCTCAAAACGGGATCTGTCAATCTAACCAACTTCGTAACCACAAAAACAAAAAAGAAATAAACCTAAATTACCCCTTTTTTCTTTCTAGAATGACTTCAAATTGCAACATGAAACTACATTAATTTATCCTAAGTAGCTCTAAGTTCATAACAGTATACATCTATTTATAATTAAATTTTATTGTTTTATTGCCTTTTGAACAGTGTCTAACAACTCTCTGCCCAATAAAAAGTTGTAAATCACTGAGAGAATGTGTAGCTCACATTGTGCTATCGAATTACATTACCCACGAGCTGTCCGCGTGCCTGCCTTGTGAACCATTTTCATTATATTATTATGATTACATATTTTACCTAATCTAGTCTTAAATCATTTAAAAAGATCCATATTTTTAGATTTTAGTTACTTTTATAATAATAAATAAAGAATAAATATGAAAAACAAGAAATAAAATACTTAAATAATCTTCTTTTTTCTTGCCGTGAGGATTCAAAGAGAATTAACCCTAACTTTTTACAGTACTAATAGTAATGCATTTAATAATTTTTATTTAATCAAATAATGCACCAAAGAACAAAGACTAATAACATACAAAAAGTAAACAATTTCCCCTAACTCCAATTCATCCAAACTAGTTGTTGACTCTCCCATGGGAATGAATCTTGTACTCTTGAGTGAAATTGACAACATTCTGTTCAGAACACAATGTTATACAATACATCATTTGATAGATGAAAACCTTTACTTTCTATTGGTTATAGGTAATATATAAAGAAACGTAAGAGAGAAGTATCAATGAATTGTTAAAGAGAAGATGTGAGAGGTGGGTGTGGCAGGAGTGGTCTGATTTTTCTATTCGATAGCTCTGTAACCAAACGAAATTAAAGACTATAAAAATTATAGTTTGTCTGATTTTATAGAGAGTAATTTACGTTTAGCTTTGTACATTTTCAAGGGATAATGGATAAAATAGTGTTACGTATCTGCTTGTATCATTGCTTCTGGTAGAAAATCTTTCCGAGGATCTTCAGTGATACGAGTCCTTTCTTGATTAAACCAGTTTATTCTTCTTTGATACAAACTTTTAGTACACAGAAGTTCCACAATCAGTACGTTTCTCATCACTTTAAACTTAACAACTTTATAATACATGCTATAAATCACAGCAATTCACAATCTCTATAACTTTGCTCTCGACTAGTGCAAAACACACTTTATGGCTCACTAGCTCGAAACTAACAGAATCATAAATTACATGGAACTCAAAAGTAACTACTGCTCTCTCTTCATTCATCTTCACTGGCTTTCTCCGCCAGGCTTATATACTAACGAAGAGGGCATCTCGATCACACTCGGACTTCCCCAATCATTCGAGAAACTCATCACGTACGCTACCAGTGCTAACGTGCCAGCAGCATCACGTGACTTCTGCTGTTGTAACAAAAGGGATGATGACACGCTAAAACAAGATGTGTCACGTGGGTCACACTAGTGGAAATTCAGGATTTGTTTAAATATTCCCTTGTAGAATTAAGAACTTAAAACTTGTATACTATTAAAATATGGAGCTAAGATTTTATGCTATTCTAATTGGCATAACATAAACAAAAAGTAGTTTAATAAAATTTTGAATGTAAGACACTAAAACCGTGTGTCATGCGCAGTAAAGGATACCCAGGGTGATAGATTTAAACTAGCAACAGCAATACAATTCAGAATATTCTTATTTTAATTTTGCTGGCTCAAAATTAGTAAACAAAATATGAAATTTTAATAATTTCTCTGACATGTTACATCTACTGATGATTCTCACTATTTTAAAAACATTTTTCCAACTGCCTTTTTTTGTACATTATTTATATGTATGACACAACAACTATTAAGATGGTTACAAATATTTCTCCTTCTTTATTCAGATTAAACTGACAAATGTACTCAGTTTTTTTTTAAGTTCTTATTTAATTTTTTAATTTTGCTGCCATATTTCAAACACCTGAATCTGACTGCATTGTGTACCACAGTATCAAGAACATTTTGAGGATTACTGGTCAGGGCAAAGAGTTCAAACTATTCATACATGTAACATACAGAAACTTAGCTTCACACACACAACTTCCAAACCACCACTAAAAGAGACTTGGCCATGGTCTTTAACTTCCCTTTTCTAGAGCTGCTGATGAAAAGTGGAATTTCCCAAAACTGTGATAGACCAAGCTTAATGTTTTTTTTCCTCATAGAAATGTATAATTTTAATAATAAGAAAAAAAAAGTACACTTTTATTTTAATTAAAATCAATGACTTCCTAATAGTCAGCAAACACACAAAAAATTATGAAATGAACAAATGTTTATTAACTCTTTCAATCCGGGTTCGGTCCCTGGGACTAGCCTTGTAACCATTTTATGCTTGTTATAGTTTTCATGCTATCTTTT